CTTTGTGTGGAATGTCCTGTAGATGTCTACTATATACATTTGACTTGGTTTATCCACCAAATAATCTGTCTGTTGGTGAGAGTAGGGTATTGAAATCACCCACTATCAATGTGTTGGCATCAATCTGTAGTTTGATATTTAACAGTGTTTTATTTATGAAATTGGATTCCCCCATGTTCTGTGCACATATATTTTGGGCTGTAGTATCCTGTTGGTGGATTTTTCTTTTAATAAATCCTTCTCCATTTCTTCTGACTAGTTTTGGTTTGAAGTCTATTTTGTCAGATAAGATTGTCTATGACTGCTTTTTTCTCAGTTCCATTTGCTTGGAATACCCTTTTTCATACTTTTGCCATAAAGTAATATCTATCCTGATGGTGAGATTTGTTCCTTGGAAGAGTGGGAAAAAAGAAACAGATCTTGTTTTCTAATCCAACCTGCTAGACTGTGTCTTTTTATTGGGGGAACTGAGACCATTTATATCCAGACATATTATTGAAATATGTGTTATTTTATTATTTTATTAATCTTTTGATGTTTTCTTGGATCTTTTTTGATTAGCTGTTCTAGTATTATTTGAGCTCCTGGATGCACTTATTCTTGTCTTCAGATTGAAGTATCCCTTTTCATATCCTCTGTGGAGATGACGTGGTAGTCAGAAAGTCCTTTAATTTGTTTTTATCATAGGAATTTTTATCTCTCCTTCAATTCTAATAGATAGTTGTGCTGAGTATGTTAATCTGATGGCAACACTGATCTTTAAGGTCATGGAACACAGCTTTCCAGGCCCCTTTGGCTTTAAAGGTTTCTGTCAAGCAATCCGGTACTACACCTGCACACACACTTGGTACATAACTTGACCTTTCTGTCTTACAGATTTCAATGACCTTTCAGTATTCTGTTGTTAATGTTTTGATTGCAATGTGTCAAGGAGAAATTCTCTTCTGGCCTTGTTTGTTCCGCCTTCTGAATGCCTCTTTCTATATGGAAGACATCTCTTTCTCCAGGTTTGGAACTTCTTTCTTCTATGATTTTTCTGAAGTTTTTTTGGTTTTGTTTTGTTTTTAATGTCTTGGCTATGGTGTTCTACTCATGCTTTATGAGCATAATTCAGAGGATGGGGTTTTTCATATAGTTTTTATCTGTTGGGATTTGAACATCTGGATTTAGTTTGTTGGCTGCAATTTTTTCTTTCTTTTTTGTTTAACTTGCCTTTCTTCTCTCCCCAGGAGCAATTACAATGTTCAGGAAGCTAATCATACAAGGGTTGGGAATGTTGATTGCCCTTGATTTTCTGGTTTTGAGGGATACAACCTCTTTCTCAGGTCTTCTGCTTATCAACTACAATTTGATGCCTTCAGTGGCTTAGTCCAGGAGCACGGAACAAGTTTTCCCTGGAACAGTGTGGACCTCAAGATGGTCTGGAGATGGCCTAGGACAATGAGAGGGTCCCAGTCAGGCAGGTGACAAGGGCTCTGGTGATCCCAAAAGGAGGGAATGGCCTGTGGCTTCCAGCTACATGTACTGGCTGGAGAGTCCCTAGTGGGAGAACAGGCTGAGAACTAGTGAGTCCTGAATGGAGGGAGGGGGCCTGGAGGTGGTCTCAGTGCGATGACTAGAATGAAGTATCATAATCTAAAGGCACAACGCTCTATCTGGATATGTTTCACCAGAGCAGCCCTGGAAGATGGAAGCAGAGTAGAAGCACATCACCAGCCCATAGAATCTGAGTGGATTATCAAAAGTCTTAGAATCCTATGGGGAGTTCAGAAGATCCAATGTCTAGGCCCCTAACACATACCCCTGAGGCTGTGAGAAATAACATAAGCCTCAGAGTGAAAGGAGCTAGCTATAGCTTCAAACTTCAGCAAAAACTTGAATTCTTCTGCCTTAGTTTTCCCCTCTGTGAAATGGGAATAATATATGTCCTTATGGCATTTGTTGTGGGGATTCACACAATGCAGCTGTGACTAGAAAATTCTAACATAGTTCTAGAACACAGAGCATACTCAGCAATGTTCACCTTGCTTGTTGTTATGGCTATGAATAAATGTTGCAGTATAACCTATCCATCCTGGCAGGATGGAAGCCAATACAAAGTCTCTTTCAATGATCAGAGACCATGGTGACATCAGCTGCTGCTGAGTACCACAAAGAAAAATCAGTTGCTATTCATATTTTATTCATCCACACTTTGAAATATTTAATCCACATAGGAAGTATCTCCAGCATTTTAAGTTTCCCTGTCAACGTTTCATGAAAATGTTTCCAAAGCAATTTAGAACTGTACATTCATGAAGTTGGGAAATCATATTCACAGAAGTGACACAGCCAGATCACCCAATTTCAGAAGTTGTTTTTCAAGCAGCAATCCATGATAACATTAGCAATTAGTTAGCCAACTTCTGCTAAATTAAGTCCAGCCTTAAGGACCTCACAGTCCTGCAAGAAAGTGCTTGCCATTTACTGCAGCTTCCTGTTTAACACTGTCAGCATGAATATCTAAAGTCCACCTTCAAAGAGAAAGACTGAGACACATGAGAGTTAAGCCCAGGTTGCTGACTCAATGCTGCATTCCCCCCACCTGGTCCAGAGCCTTGGAACCCAGCAGATAACCAAGAGCTGTTTCTTGGATGGATGGACGGATGGATGGATACATGGATGGATGGATACATGGATGGATGGATACATGGATGGATGGATAGATGGATGGATGGATGGATGGATGGATGGATGGATGGATGGATGGATGGATGGATGGATGGATGGATGGATGGATGGATGGATGGATACATGGATGGATGGATGGGTGGATACATGGATGGGTGCATGGATGCATGGATAGATGGATGGAATGCTTTTTGTAGGTACTTGAACGGGAGTTAAATATATTTCTTTCCCCTGTCATACTGTGGCTTAGAGTCTGAGACACACAATAGTGAATCTACATCAAAATTCAAGATTTGGGGAGATTTTGTATGAAACAGCTACAGAATTGTAACTATCCTAAGACCCAAATTACCCTTGGCTTGAGTATTATCTACAAGAAAACTTTGAAGTGAATTGCCCACTGATAATAAGGGTGAGGGTGCTTGTCAGGTTAAATACCCCCCACTGGATCTCTCTTTCTCAAATGATTAGAGTGGGCTTGTTGTGCTGTGTCTGAGGACTGCTCTAGAGCCCACATTCCACAACAGGTACACTCGCTCTAGTTAGTAACAGGTGAGGCCGGCTGTCTTGCTCTATCCTGATTGAACCAGACTTTGCACAGCTTGCTTCTCCTTTACAGCATTGCACTTGTTCAAAGTTTCAGGTCACGCTCACAGACTGATCTATTGTTTTCTTTCCAGGAGGGGGAGAGAAGCTTTAGGTACCTGGCACCCAGCAAAACCCAGAGTTACCATGGAATTCTTCAAAGTAATAAAGGGCTAGATGAAGGGTTCCTCGCTGGTACAACCAGGTCACAAGCCTAAGAAGGTTTGATGGGCATGACTGGCTCTGTCCCCAGGGCGTACTCTGCTCTCATCTGGGCTTTGCTGCCTAGAGCTGAGTTGCTTCTCCTGGCTCCCTGTAGAACCTCCACACTCCAGGAATTTGGACCGAGTGGTAGAGACATCGCCGACAGAGACGGCAATCACCAGCTTCCTCCCTGGGGTGTCTTGTGATTCAGAGCACATTCTGCTCCACTCTTTTAAAAAGGGCAGCATGTTGACGCTCGAGACACAAGAGCAGAATCAAACAAGGAAACTGCCATTTGATCAAAGAGTCGGTGAGTATGCAGCTCATCCCTGGCAGCCATGGCAGGACTTGGGTCACATGGAGCCTGGGCGTCAAAGTCTGTTTGCTGAGGGTTGCCAGTGTTCTGGGGAGTTTGTAGAAGCTGCAAGAGCTATCGAAGTAGGGCTTAAAGATTTCAGTAATGACCCTAGACTAAAGCCCACTTTCTCTGCAGACACACACCCCCATGCAAATTGCCACTCCCTGGGTTCCAAGGTTGTGTGCATTTGTGCTCAGCTGTGAAAGGCCGAGCTGGAAAACATGGCTTTTTCTCTTGGGTCTTCATCTAAAGTGAACACCACTGAGCCCAGGGCCTTGCTTGGAAGCTTCTATAGGAAGTGCTTTGCACTGAGCTTCCATTTCCCCATCAGCCTAGTCTAGTCCCACACTTAGAGCACTTAGTGAAGATGGCTACGTCTGTCTACTGGCACAGCCATTGAAAACACTCTGCTCTGTTCTCCTCGGGCATTGCTTTCTTACTCGTGGTATCCTATCTTCCCCGGAAGGGCGCAGTTCTGAGGAGGGGCTTTCTTTTGATTGATCTCCTCTCTGTGGACTAATCCATGTAGCGTGGATTCTAGTGTTCTAGGCCCAACTCTCCCATGCATCAGTCTTCGGGTGCACACATGCATTCTTGATATTTCACGGATTGCTCTTGAGGCCAGGATCTGTCATAGCCCTGCTACTCTCCCCAGACCGATGAGTCCTTGAGTTCTCTAGAGCTCATCCACTATGTCTGTAGCTGTGATAGCTAATGTGCTCATTAGAATATCAACCCAGAATCTATACTCTCTTTAGCATAGAAGATAATCTTTGAGTGTGATTAGTATATAATTACTCATGATAAATGTGGCACAGCTATAAGCAGGCTAAGTGCCAAGAAACAAGGGATGGGATGCACGTTTGGCATTTCTTTTCCCAACATAATGGTTTGTTTTAACATGATCCAGACTTTCCCAAGGCTACACCTGCAGTAACAAGAGCAGACCTTCAAGCACATGGTTGAGTTTTCAAACTGATCTCAGCCCAGTCAAGCAGCCTAGACAGGCAGGATCACGGTGGGTAATCAAGAATGCACAATGAGCCTGTTCTTTGGCCATTCCCGGCCACTGGAAACAGAGCTGGGTGCCCCAGTTCTCAGGCCATGAGACTTGCTGTCATCACTGTCATCAGTATCACTCCTTCTGCTTCTCCTCCCTCTGAATTGCAGGTATCCAGCCTCCATGCTGCCTCTCCTGCTGGTCACTCTCTTTCTTGTCTCCTCCTCCTTCTCAGCGGGTGGAGGTAGCCCCCTCACTGAAGCCCTGTGGTTGCTGAAGACTGAGTTTGCCCTTCACCTCTACCGGAGTGCAGCAGCACAGAGAAATGGGACAAACTTTGTCATCTCACCTGCCAGTGTGTCCCTCTCCCTGGAGATCCTGCAGTTTGGAGCCCGGGGTAACACTGGCTGGCAGCTGGCAAGTGCCCTGGGATATACTGTGCAAGGTAAGAGGCTCTTCTCTCATGCTTCCTCTTCACGCCTGGTTCCTACTCCTCCTCCCTGCTCAGGTGCTCTCAGGAGTGGGGAGCTGAGCTCTACCCAAGTGTGTACAGGCACAGAAGTGTGGCCATGTGTGAAGCACACACTCAGAATTCACAAACATGCTTGTTCTTGGATTGTGGAGACTTCCTTCTAGCCTCATGGCAGTTCTATTCCATAGCAGTGTACACATCCATGGGCTCCCACTAGAGTCCGAGTAATATTATTCACCAAGTGTCATGGTGCTCTTACCATAAGGGCCATGACTGGAGAGAGACCCGGCTTATGTACATGAGGAGAACTTTGAAGGCAGCAACTCTGTCTCGGGGAGCAACACATGCAGTTGGGGGTGGGTGCCATGTGCTTTTGTAGATGGGGGTGGGTGCTGTGTGCTTTTGTGATTCCACCAGCAGGTCAGAGGGGTCCCCTGAAGATATTATGTGTGATCTGGCCAGGAGAAGAAATGTAAATATGAAAGCAAAGGCAGGCACTTCAGCCTTCAACAGAGTCTCACACAAGTCAGAATGGTTGGGTTGGGACATGCAAGAGAGGGTCAGTTCTGAGATCAGATCCCATCATGGTACCTGGTTAACAGGTTGATCTAGTACGATGATGAAATCCTGTTCAGATGTCAGGACTGCTTTGCATGACAATGATGCCCCTTAAGGTTCTGAATCACACACTGACTGCTTTACCTTCATATGGAGCCACCATCAGTTAGTAAGAACAGGGCCAGGCCATTCTCAGAGTCCTCTTCATCACTCTCCCCATTTTAGTTGCACTGTGTCCTGCTTAAAGTCACACACCAATGCCAGCTACCTGCCGCAGCCCAGCGTTTCTTTTAAAAGATAATACAGGACTGGAAAGATGTCCATAGCATAGCAGTTAAGAGCATATGCTTCTCTTGCAGAGGACCCAAATTTGGTTCCCAACACTCATGTCAGACAGCTCACAAACACCTGTAACACCAGCTTTAGAAGACCCAATATTGGCTTCTGGCTTCTATGAACATTGCATTCATGTGCACGAAAACACCTAGACACAGAATTTAACTTTTAATATATTCTTTATTTTTTAATTCAGATATAATTACATTACTTTCCTTCTTCCCTTTCCTCCCTCAACTCCTTCCCATGCATACATCCCACCCCCTTGCTCCTTCTTGAAAGCGTAGCCTCTTTTTAATTGCTATCAACACACACACACACACACACACACACACACACACACACACACACACACACACACAAATACCTAAATATATCATCACAACCTGTTCAGTCCATTTACTGTTACTTGTATATGTATGATTTCAGGGTTTGACCACTTGGTATTGGATAAACAATAAGGGGGAGGCTCTTCCACGGGGAGGGCTCTTTCTTCCTTTTTCAGCATTCCTCAGTTGCCTGCAGCTCTTTTTCTAGGGCTGAGGATCCATGAGATTTCCCATCTATATTAGTGCGTCTATTGGTGCCGTACTTGTTCTAGTCTTTTTAGGCAGCCCTATTGTTGAGATTTCATGGGCAAAACTCCCCTGTCATTTGTAGGAGACACAATCTTACAGTAGATTTCTCAGTCCTCTCATTCTTACAGTCCTTCAGCCCCCTCTCCCTCGCTGTGAAGGAGTTGTGCTGCAGGTGTTATCAGTTGGGTCTGGGCACTACAGAGTCATTTATGTACTACATTTTGACCAGTCATGGTGTTCTGTAAATGGCCTCCAATCTGTTGCAAGGAGAAGTTTCTTTGATGAAGGTTGAGAGCTACTCTTATTTGTGGGTATAAAGAATAAATGCTTGGAATGTACTTAGGAATTATGCTGGTTTAGTAAAGTAGTGGTTGTAGGTTCTCCTCTAAGATCCATGTAGCTAACTAGGTTTCCCATACCAAAGATGACTTCCCTCTTGTTGAATGGGCCTTAAGTTCAACTAGACAGCTCTTGGTTCCTGACAAGATATGTGTGCCACTACTATACCTTTGGGGTCTTTGTGCAATGCTGGTCATTGTGTGGTTCTGCTGGGTAGGACTACTAGCTGCTTTCCTCCCTTGGAAGTTTGCATAGCAACTTCTAGTACTGAGAAAACTAGTTCTCAGGGTGGAGGCTTTCAAGTCAGATCCAGCTTGGATTCTCTAGGCCTTGTTCCATGGGGATGCACAATTTCCCAATGCTCCAGCTTCTAAGCATTTTCGTTATTCTTCTAGATGAATTAATGAGAACATTTTTAGCACAGAGGCTTCAGAAAGGAAGGTGGTCTAGTCCCAGGCAAAGAATTATGTTTTGTAGTGCATACTGAGTTGTCTTTTACAACTGTGTCATTTGATTCTCACAGACTACCTAACACAAGAGGTAAATGGCTTAGCAAAACTCAGCTGGTCTGGTGGCAGGTGACAGAGCCAGGATTCAAGCTCCAGATTGTTAATTCCAAGTCCTGTGCTCTCTTCACAGTTCCTGAGCCCCACTCCAGCCAGGAAGCAGTTACATCAATTTCTAAGCAGTAGAAGGCTTACTTTCTCTCTTCCTCATCAGAGGCAGCTTCATCTTCCTCCCATCCCAATCATACCTGCTGGGGAGCACCTCCACTCACCCCTTTCAGAGTTCTTGAAAATCCAAATATCAGTATTTGGAAGACATTTCTCATAGTTTGAGATTTTTATGGACATGAATCTTTCAGAGTCTAGAACTCTGCAGAGTCTGGAGCCCAGATCCATCAGCTTTAGATTCACCTATCAGATGAACTTAGGGGTGATTTTCAGTCCCTGATCATGTATGTTCTTCTTCCTTTTCTCCCTCAGAACCCTGTAAAAGCCACTAAATTATAGGTTCTCTCCCAACACCTTTTTACTTTGGAGGCAGGAGGCTGAGAAGCCAGCAGAGATAAAGTTCCTCTTGGAGAGTTTGGAGAGCCCTATCTCTGCTCTCAGACCATTCACTTCTGCCCCTCTAGAAGGCTCTAGATTGTAGTAAACATAGTACCCATCCCCCAAAGTCTGTGTGCTTCACAGCCCCTGTTCATCTGGGGAACAGAACTCTCCCAAGCAGGGTCTTCTCAATCCCAGACATTCCTCTCCCTGAGGGCAACAAGATGAGGAAACAGCACTACCTCCAACATAGTGACCCTAAGCAAGTAATGAACAGGTCTGAGCCTCGGCAGTCTCCTCCCTATAGTAGGAGGGCCACAGCCCTTACTGTGAAGTGTTGCTGAGCGCATTCATTGTAATTGGACTGTAATTGGACTGTTCTATGCAATGTTTGTAGGCAGCATCAAGTTTAACATTTTACTCTAACATTGCACACTCTGGAACATATGTAAGAGTGCTTCTCTGTGTGTAGATGGGCAGGGACAAGTCAGGCTCAGTGGAGACAAGAGATGACATAAAAATCCATTTCAGGACAGTCACTCTGCTATTATTTCTGGCTCCCAGAACACCTGTCCCAGGCTGTATCGTCATTTTTCTCTTTGCTGTGATGAAATACCCAACCAATGCAACTTAAGGGAGCAGGGGATGGCTCAAGAGAATCCCAGATGTGAGAACTCAGGTAAAGGTGTGTGACCAGGCAGCTACCCCGATACATGATACATTTACCTGGGAGGAGGAGCCCAAGTTGAGAAAATGCTTCCATCAGATTGTCCTGTACATATGTCTGTGTGACATTTTCCTTGATTGATGATCGATGTAGGAGGACTCGGTCTGCTGCGGGTGCTGCCACCTGGACAGGCAGCCCTGGACTGTGTAAGAAAGCAGTCTGTGCAAGACGCAGGGAGCAAGCCAGTAAACAGCATTCTTCATGGTTTCTGCTTCAGTTCCTGCCTAGAGTTTCTACCCTGACTTCCTTCATTGATGAACTAACTGTAAACTGTAAGGTGAAACAAACTCTTTCTTCCCCAAGTTGCTTTTGGTTGTAGTGCTTAATCATAGCAACAGAAGCCTAGCTAGGACATCAGCAGCTTGCCACTGCCCATCATCGTTACAAAACTGCTCATAATTCTCTAGCTTCATTATAGAAATCCCATCATGACACACTGGACCTGCCATATCCCAGCTCTAGAATCTCCTGTTCCAGAATATTTGCACACTGTGTGAAGATGTGTTGCTGCGATTGGTGTAATAAAAAACTGAGTGACCAATAGCTAGGCTGGAGAAGATAGGCAGGACTTCCAGGCAGAGAGAGAGGAAGTCAGGGGATGAATCTAGGTGTGTGAGAGACTCCAAACGTGTGTGAAAAACAAGTAGGACGTATATGACAGAGGAAAGGTAACTGAGCCAACATGATAGAACATAGATTAATAGAAACGGGCTAATTTAAGTTATAAGAGCTAGTGGGACAAGCCTAAGCTAATGGCCAAGCTTTCATAATTAATAAGAAGTCTCTGTGTCATTATTTGTAAGCTGGTGGCTGACAAAAAAAGTTTGCTACACTCTCCTCCAGAACTCAGCAATGTTCTTGAATCAGGAATTCAGGAAAGCACAGCCTTGCCACTTCCAAGACATCAGCAGACTCCCTTCCAGTTTCCAAATTTGTTTGTGGTCTAACATGTCTTCTGCCCAACTTTTAAGCTGTGGGATTAGGTGGATTTTGACTCAGGTAGCTATGCCATATCCAGTGAGGGACTTTTGGGAGGTACTCAGAAGGTGTATACCCCTGAGACAATCTGTTGACTGAAGTTTCTGTCCCATCCAGTCCTGCCACCATTTAGTCCCAAACAAACACACAGAAGCTTATATTAATTATAAACTGTTCAGCCTATGGCTCAGGCTTCTTATTGGCTAGCTCTGTCTTAATTATTAACCCATATCTATTAATCTGTGTATCTTCATGCGGTCTTGGCTTACCAGTGATGCCCAAGTCTCCTGCTTTCTCAGTAGCTACATGGCATCTCCCTTGAGACTCGCTCTCTGTGTTCCTCTTCCCAGAATTCTCCTAGTCTGGTAGCCCCACCTTTACTTCCTGCCTGGCTGCATCCTGCCTGTCCATTGACTGAAACAGCTTTATTCATTAACCAATAAGAGAAACGTATATTCACAGCATACAGAAGGACAACCCTCCCCCATCAACAATCTGCAGGTGGGAGCTGTGCAAGCACTTACAAACACTCCTTTCCCACAGACCCAAGAGTGAGAGAGTTCCTGCACAGTGTTTATACCACACTGCACAACTCCAGTCAAGGCATCGGGATGGAGCTGGCCTGCACCCTTTTCATCCACACCGGAGCATCTCTGTCTCCCTGCTTTGTGCAGCAGGTCTCCCGGTGGGCCAACAGCAGTCTGGAGCCAGCTGACTTTGGTGAGCCCAACCGCACCACCATGGATGTCTCCAAAGGCACACCCAGACAGAGCATGGGTAAAGGAAAACCATCTTCCCTGGCATGGCTAAGGGCAGAGGGCTGCAAAGAAATAGTGCCACCCATCATTTGTCAGAGCCATCGTAAGGTTTAGTATGCCCTGGATTACAGCAGAAGTTGAGGTGGCAGATCTATCTTTGAGTGACATACATGTTCTGTGAAACAACCCCAGATGACCTGTTCCTCTTCTGTTCCTTCTCTTCACACCCCAGCATGAATACACACATATACACCCATATTTGAGTACACAAACACAGAAAGGTGTTCCTCAGAGCATATCACCTCTGGAGATACCCTGCAGGATTTGCCCCATGTCATTCTCCCCAGGCCATTTCTCACCAAGTTCTGTTTTCACCTACAATTAATCCCAGGTGAGAGCAAAAGACAACAGGGGCCAGAAAAGTAGCTTCTGGGAAACTTAGGTTAAGGAAACACACACACACAAGGACAAGTTATAACCAATATGTTTCACTTGGTTCTATTGGAGGTTTGCTATGTATAATCCAACCATCAATGGCAACCACCATGTGCTCTGATTGTTATGAAGTGAGTGGAAGTCACTAACACCTGCTAGCCTTTCATTTATGCACTTAGTGTGGTTTGAAATTTGATTCCATTTCACTCACCCATTAATCCTAAAAGGTGGGGGCTGTCTTCATTTTACAAATGGAGGAACTGAAGCACCAAGGGTTGAATTTCTTGCTTGCCCGTGCGCCACCAAGCCAAGATTCCGATCCAGTTAGTTTGGCTGCAGTGTTCTTGGTAAACATAAAGACTCAGATAAATGGAGAGTGTTCAAGATCCAGCGTTGCTTAAAAGCAGAACAGAAAGCTGGGATACAGGTGGACTGGATGCTGCACTCCCTCAATATTTTCAAATGCTCAATGCTGTCTTTGGCAATTTACTTCACAAGGAGTAGTCCCTGGAGATAGAGAAATAGTTCAACTGTTAAGAGGGTGGGCCAGGTAGCTCATAACTACCTTTAACAGCCCCTTGATGCCCTTTTCTAGCACCCAAGGTTACCTGCTCTCATGGGTACATACCAAAACAGAGATAAACACACAGACACATTGTTAAAATATTTTTTAAATTAAGGAGTGGTTCCCTATATCCTCCTTAAGCTGCCAGGAGACCCACTCAAAATCCAACATAGGTATTCTCAACTCACAGCCTGGCTTCCCTTTAAGAAAAAGGACTTGTATAGCTATCCAAAGCAATGACTACGGAGCCCATCTGCTCAGATTCAAAAGCAAGCATCTTTTGGCGGGTGATTGGGTGGATGGTAGTATGACAACAACTTCCCTGAGCCTCACTCCTCTCATCTGGGAAATGAAGAATGACAACAAAAAGTCAAGGAGATTTCTTCAAGCATTTAGGAAGAACCTAGCACACCTGTATTTATTAAACAGTTGAAGGCCTGGAACAGAAACTGTCTCTGTAGGAATGGTCTGCTTGCTCCTTCCTGTTCTTACATGCAATTTTAACCACAGCCCTCCCCAAACTGTGCTCTGATCATAGTTGCCTCAGCAAAGGTGTGGTGAGGGATGCTACTCAGCAATTAGTGGGCCCCAAGGTGGGGGTGACAGAGTGCAGTCTTCTCCAGTCGTAGAGCTCATCCGTGTAAGCATCTGCCTGGGGAGACTGCCTGTTAATCTCTGGGAAATGACTCAATGGAACCAGGGGCATTCTGGACACCAGTTAGAAACAGGGAGGGAAGCCACAATGCATACATGCTAACAAGAAGGCTGCAATCAATTCTAAGGTGCCTCACTGCTCCCTGAGCAGAAGTATAGTCACTGGAGACCCACTCTGAGCTCATGTTCTCACTTTCATTTCCATGACAATAAGTTAAAAGCCAGTTAGCAGCTGGTGGCTGTGGGTCCCTTGGCAGCATAAGGAATTAAAGCTTTTGTGGTAAACTGAAAATAACATGAAGTGGGGGCTGGGGGGGGCAAGATGGAGGGAGGGAGACAGAGACAGAGAGAGACTCAGAGAGAGACAGAGACAGAGAATGCCTTCTATCTATAGGTGAGGGCCCGGGTAGCCCACTGTGGGGCCAGGCTGGTGCCCTGTCTACTCAGCTCTCCATCATGGGCACCATGACCTTCCAAAGTACCTGGCAGAGGAGATTCTCTTCCATGGCCTCGCAGCCCCTGCCTTTCACCTGCGCCCAAGGCCTCGTCCTTCAAGTCCCTGCGATGCACCAAGTGACAGAGGTCAGCTATGGTGAGTCCTCCTCCATCCCCACATTCAGAAAATTGGAGGAAACCCAGCAACTCAAACAAGAGAGGGGAGGGGCCTCTGTTTTACATGTTTCCAGAGGCGCCCATTCTCTGGGCTATGGGTGGACTGAAGGAAAGTCCAGAGTAGCAGGAGACTTACAGAGGGGCCTTGGTGTACCCATCTGGATACTGAGGACACAGATATGGAAGAGAAGCCAATTTCATGCTTGGCATTGGCCTGTGCACTGTGTATGAACATGTTCATGTAAAATTAAAAATACCTGGACCAAACACCTCTCCTAGAAGACACTTCCATGGCATAACACCCAACCAGGACCAAATGAAGGCTAAGAGGCCTCCAGACTACAGAACCTCCTGGCCCTGAAATGCCATTGTTCCGTGTGGCCCTCCTGCTTATGGTTACTTGTCCCATTCAGTGGGGGAGGTTCCCAGTGCCAGCAAGATGCCTGGTGGCCTTGTGTGTGCTGGAGATGCCAGCGGGCTCTGTGCTAAGGATGAGCCAGAGCATGCAGTGGGTTCACCTAACACTCATCTCCATCTCTCTCCCTACATCCTGCACCAGCCCCCATCCCTCCTGCAGCTCAGCATCTTCCGCTATCTGCCACTTGTCCCATCACATCCTTCAGCAGCCACACTCTGCCTAGTCCCTGGACTTGTCTTAACAAGCAATTTCCTTTGCCCACAAACACCCAGCTACCCATCCTGAGACCTATCTGTTTAGGTCACAGTTAAAAATCATCAGTCCTCAAGTCAAATCCAGCCAGGATGTATGTTTTGTTGGGTCTGTGGAATGTTTCAGAGTTGGGAAGTTTTCATAGGAACTATAGATTTAAACCCTTTCTTAAAGACAAGATGAAACACAAAGTGCCTGGGCCCCCATAAGTCCAGGCTGGACAGGCTCCCTCAAGACAATGCCTCAGCAGGCCCAGTTGCTGTGTGTTCTTGAGTAAGACCGTGTGGGAGATCTTAGGGGGCTTTAGGATTAGTAAAAGGGCCATGTCATCCAACAGTTCCCAGTCTCAGGCTGCTTTCTGAGGCTGAGATTAGCACTCTGATTTACTGTTGCTCTCATTTTTTTACTGTTGCCGGGGTAAGTCTGCCTACTCCAGGTTGTGGCATTGTTTTCCCTGGCTCCTAGGACAGAGCTAATTCCTGACCCACTAAACCCCTAGGCCAGTTCCAGGATGCTGCAGGCCATAAGGTAAATGTTCTGGAGCTGTTGTACCTGGGAAGGGTGGCCAGTTTGTTCCTGGTGCTTCCCCAAAACAAGGACACCCCTCTGGACCTAATTGAACCACACCTCACAGCCAGAGTCATCCACCTCTGGGCCACCAGGCTGAAGAGAACCAGGATGGATGTGTTCCTCCCCAGGTGAGTGGCTACATCTTCCTTACAGGGGAATTACTATGGTGGTCAGTGGAGCTTACACTTTGAGTGCAGTGGTCAGACTCCAAGGCCCATCCTCCCACTGGGCCAGCTTGTCAAATGAGCTTAGGCCAAGGAGAAGTTCCCTGGGGTTTGAATCGATTTTAAAATCATTGCAAAGTAGATCATGTTACATACAGTTGAATTAACTTTCTGGGTCTTCCTGAGATAAACTGTGAGAACTGGGCTGATGCAAGTCCCTACCTCCTTGTTCCAGAGGTGTGTCACTGTGAAATGAAGAAGTTCAAGGAAGCACCCTTGTGGGTACAGCTGTCATTGCCCCCGAACCAAAGAGAAAAGATGGCTTGTGTAACTGAGAAAGCATATATGTAATTCTAGTAAGAAGCCAAATTAGAACAGGAAAATTCAAGACTTTTCCAGGCATGGTGGTACAACTGTAAATCTAGACAATCAAGATGACTGTAGTCAGCAAGTTCAAAGCCAGCCTGTGCTACAGAGTGGTTCCACCTAGCCTGAGCAATTTAATGGGAGCCTGTCTCTATTAGCTAGTAAATGCAAGGCTTGACATCTTTGTGCTGAAGATACATTCGTTCTAAGTGGAGAGGTTCCTTCCTTGAAGACAAACCAGTAGATACAAATACACACTGAAAAAAAAAAAATCTAATGACAGAGCTAGCACTTATTTTCCAAAGCAAAGATGTTAGCAAAACTCATTGTTTTACAAAAGGGTTCTTACTAGTGTTTTTCAAATGATAAGCTTGTCTGGCAATTTGAGAAGGTTCAGCATAACTTCGTAGGTCAGCATTAAGTGCATAGTGTTGCTGTCCAGGAGCTCATTTGCAGCACGTGAACTCTTCATACTCCTGTCCACTTGGGGCCTTGGTCACACTCCAAGTCCCGGGGCTCCCAGTGGGTAAAAGCAAAAGCCTTGGCAATGCTCCCTAGGGCAGTTAAAAATAAGCCCATCTCCTGGAGCAAAAACATACAAGGAGAGCCCCAAGGAGGCAGGGCCCAGGTCTAAAATGAGATCAGGCATAATGAAGAGCCAAAGGTGAACTCAGAACCAAGACAAAACCCCTCTCTCAAAGCCAAATGCTCAGCCCCTACCAGAGGCCCTGATCTTGTGACATTTGGGAATAATTAGTGCAGGAGGGAAGGCTGCTCTTGCCTCAGCATGGAGAGAAAGTGCAGCCCAGAGAAGAACCTGCTCTCACATGAAGATGAGTAGGTTGGCCTGGAGTGGCTAATGGAAGAAGAATCCCCTGGAAACACTCAGCTCTGAAGAGAGAACGTCACAGTGACATCCTCCCAAGCCCTCAGCAGTGACCCTGAAAACACAGGGCAGAGGAGGAAGAAGAGGAGGAGGAGGTCCGAAGGTCTCACAATGACTCAAACAACCTTGTTCTGATAAATATATGTAATCACTCCAAGGTATCAAGCATCTAAGCCAAGACTAATAGAATATTTTTAGCAAAACAAAACCAACCCCTCTCTCTCTCTCTCTCTCTCTCTCTCTCTCTCACACACACACACACACACACACACACACACACACACACACAGAGAGAGAGAGAGAGAGAGA